CTTATTAGCATATATATAAGCCTTTTATATATATAAATATGTTCCAACATGGCTACCTATAACGAGGCATTAGAAGCATATTAAACAAACAAACAATAAAAGCCCTGTGGTATTAATTTTTCTATCTCCCTGATGTCTGCCTTTAAAATATTTTTTACAATAGTAGATTTTATTTGACTTTGGAATATACGATGCTTCTTAAAAAATCATATTGAAATGCAAAGACGTTGTTTAGTCACACTCAAGTGAGCTGATCAATGAATCAGTCTCCATAGTCCTTATCAGGCACCAGTAGGAAGAACATTAGAACTGGAGGAGGAGAAAAAAAAACCCTCAAAGTATCAAGAAAATATTATTCAAATTACTTGAAATTTGGATTTGTTCAAGAACCTGGTAGTGAGCTGGATCCATAGCCGCTCTGTGTTGTGTGTTCTGAGAGTTTATCCAATGATGCCATGAAACCTTCGAAACCCGAAAGACACTTGTAATCAAAACAGGTGCAAGTGGCTTCAGTATTGCACTGGATTTAGCTAAAAAACCACTTGAATATTTTCAAAGAATGCAAAAGCAAGTACTTGCTCTTACAAAAATGATTATAATAAATCCTATCTGATAGCACTTCAGATTGTGAAAAGTCATATATGATTGGAAAAGAATTCATGAAGCCTTGCATGTTATAAGCCTGTGAAGAGGTTTTGGGAGAGCAGGCTGTCAGAAACGGAAAGCATTCCCGTGCCTGCTAACACTGCCAAAAGCAGAATTAAAGACCTGGCTGAAGATATTGAAAACCAAGTTATAAAAATGATGAAAAATTCACCATTTTATTCAATTCAACTTGATGAATCAATGGATGTAAGTAACAAGGCACTTATTTGTTTTGGAAGGGCAGAATGTGAAGGAGAGTTACAGGAAGAACTACTTTGCTCATTCCACTTCCCAGGTGGAACAACTAGCTTTGAGAATTTTAAAAATATATATATTTTATTGATTTTTTTTTTTTACAGAGAGGAAGAGAGAGTCAGAAACATCAATGAGAGAGAGTCATCTATCAGCTGCCTCCTGCACATCCCCTATTGGAGCTTTGAGATTTTTGAAGCACTTAATAGTTATTTCCTGGAACAGGGAATTGAATGGAAAAAAATGTATAGGGATATGTACAGATGGTGCCACAAACATGATTGGACATCTTTCAGGAATTGTTGCAAAGGTGAAAAATGTTGGTCGCCCAAACATTTTGTCTACACACTGCTTTATACATCGTGAGCAACTTGCAGTGAAAATACTATCCCCAGAACTACATGAAGTATTATCAGATGTTATTAAAATTGTAAATGAAATATGACACAAAGCACTCAATTCTTGAATATTTGAGGCACTTCGTGAAAAAATGGGTTCCCAGTACACTCACCTTCTTCATGCTGAGGTGAGAGGGCTGGGACAAGATACAAACCTGTTTGCCCTGTGTGAAGTAAAAATATTTTTCCAGCAGCAAAATAATCCGAAATTACAAAACTCTTCTCCGACGATGAGTGGGTAGGTTGCATACCTAGTGTGTGTGTGTGTATGTAATTTTTTTTTTTTTGGTATTAATGAACAAAACATATCCTTGCAAGGACAATTTAAGGACATGTTCACACTACGAGGTAAAATGGATACTTTTCAAAAGAAAATATTACTGTGGCAAATGCGGTAGGCTGAAGATCTGCAAATGTTTTCAAACTTTGATGAATATATGAGAGAGAAGAATGTCAACTGACAGGCAGTAACCATTGTTCAACAGCATTTACAATCACTCACAGAACCTTTAGGTCATTATTACCCAAAGAAAGAAGATCCCAAACATGGCAATATGTGTATAATAGATCCATTTGCAGCAAACATTGAAGATATCAATTTAAGCTTGAATGAAAAAGAAAGCCTCATTGATCTATCATTTGACAACAGTCTCAAAGCTAAATTCCAGTCATCCTTATCAAGACCTCATTTTTGGATCTCCATTAAAAGTAAATACCCACTGCTGAGTGAAAAAGCAATGAAAATTATGATTCAATTTTCAACAATATATTTGTGTGAAAAAACATTTTCATTTGTCACAGCAATTAAAACTCGGTACTGGTCTTGACTTGAAATATGGATCTCCGTCTTGCAGTAACATCATTGGAGCCAAAAATCCATAAACTTATTTCTAGAAAGAAATTTCTAGAAATATCACACTTTAAAAAAAAGATTAATGCTTAAATAAGCTTCAATTATTTTGTAAAAATTAAACTTACTTTAATAAATTTGTTACAATTTAAAAACCTTTGAAGATTTTGTTATGATTAAATAAGTATTTATAATGTTGTTATATTAAACGAGGGCCCAGTGCACGAATTTGTGCATCTTGAAAGGGATGATGGGTCTCGAGGCTGTGGTGGGCACAGGAGCAGGTCTCGGTCCATCCTCCACACCCCGCCAGAGCCATCCCCCCTCCCCCATGGCCCTCAGGTCCTGTCTGCCAGCAGCCTCACTCCTGCTGCTGCCACTCCCATGCACTGACGATGCCGAGTACACACATTGTAGTGACCAGTTGTTTGTTTGTTCCACTGTTCAGTCTATTTGCATATTAGGGTTTTATATATAATATATAGGTAGGTGCGTTTCATATTAATAAAATGGAAGTTCTCTGATAATTTTACAAATGTATTTATTTTTTTAAATCATATTAGTGGTACACGGAATTTGAAATTATGAATTTAGTAGTCCGTGAGGTCTGAAAGGTTGGTGATTGCTGCCATAGAAGATGGTATTCTTCTCTATTTTACTAGATGTACAAGCATCAGTGTCATTTCATGCCAATAAACAGATCACTTTTGAAAGATGCATGGTATTTCCTTAACCTGTTAACCGGGGAGTTCCCTTTTTAATTACGCAACGTACAACGGGCGCATACTCTTTCACTAGGATGTGTCAGTACGTCACGCCCAGCAGATGTAATTTTATATTATTATTATTTTTATTTATACTTAATTAAAATAAATGAAATATATATTTTTTCATTTATTTATATATAAAGCACAAAGGAAAATGCAAAATTACAAACAAATAGAAAAGAATACCAACAAAAAAAATGGAAACATCCAATTAAAAAATTATAAATTTTACAATTATAAAGATTACAAAAAATATATACCATCCCTCTCAGGACGCAACATATATTTCAAGGACGTATTCATATGTCCTACCCATTCCCGACAGTGTTTATGTTTGACGTATTTATAGGTCCCGCTCGGTTAACAGGTTAATACTTTTTAAAAAATATATATTTTATTGATATTTTACAGAGAGGAAGGGAGAGAGATAGAGAGCTAGAAACATCGATGAGAAACATCGACCAGCTGCCTCTTGCACACCCCCTATTGGGGATGTGCCCGCAACCAATGTACATGCCCTTGACCGGAATCGAACCTGGGACCTTTCAGTCCGCAGACCGACACTCTTACCACTGAGCCAAACCGGTTTTGGCTAGGTTAATACTTTCTGTGGACTAGTATCACAAAGAAAATCTTACTCCTAACTCCAGTTCATTTGCTATCTTACCCATTCATTCTTATTGTTATTCATATATTTGTATTAATTTCAGAGAGGGAGAGGGTGAGATAGAAACATCAATGATCAGAATCATTGACTGGCTACCTCCTGCATGCCACACATTGAGGATCAAACCTGTAATCCAGGCATGTGCCTTGACCAAGAATCGAACTGTGACCTCCTGGTTCATGGGCCAATGCTCAACCACTGAGCCATGCCAGCTGGGCCCCATTCATTCTTCTCATGGCACTGAAGCCACACCTATAATTTGAGTTATAAAATATGTAGATTTGGCTGTCTTAGCTTTCCAAACTGGCCTCATTCTAAGTACATCCCTCAATAAACTTGTTTCACCTATTCCAGTCAGACAGGATACATCCACGTTACTAAAACTTATTTTTAAATTATATATTACCACTGGTCACTTTTTTAAAAAAAATATTTTTTTATTGATTTTGTACAGAAAGGGAGATAGAGAGTTAGAAACATCGATGAGAGAGTCATCGATCAGCTGCCTCTTGCACACCCCCTACTGGGGATATGCCCGCAACCAAGGTACATGCCCTTGACTGGAATCGAACCCGGGACCCTTCAGTCCCGAAGCCGACGCTCTATCCATTGAGCCAAACCGGTTTCGGCTGGTCACTTTTTAAAAAAAATATATTTTATTGCTTTTTTACAGAGAGGAAGGGAGAGAGAGAGATAGAGTTAGAAACATCGATGAGAGTCATCTATCAGCTGCTTCTTGCATGCCCCCTACTGGGGACGTGCCCGCAACCCAGATACATGCCCTTGACCGGAATCGAACCCGGGACCCTGCAGTCCGCAGGCCGACGCTCTATCCACTGAGCCAAACCAGTTTCGGCGCCACTGGTCACTTCTTATCCTATGCTTCAGTGACTAATTTAAGGGTGTCCCTTTTCTCTAAAACACTCAAGTATCAGAGCCCTCACAGTAATCTACTTCCTAAACTCCAGAAATGGAATTTTCCAATGAGGGTATGCTTGTCATACTTCTAACTATTTATGTTTGTAAGTGTGCACAATGTATCTGCACCCGGATTTTAAAGTGAAGAGTCGTCACTTCTGCCAGTTTTCACACAGAACTTTATTGAAAACACAGACTCAAATAGAGAACCACATGTTTAAACAACAAACAACAGGGTAGCTTACACAGGCAACTCAGTTCATTGGAAGCTCAATACTGAAAAATACTGCAATCTGGACAGCAAGACAATTATCAACAAATATGTTTTCAGCTCTAATATTCATTTGGCATCCACAAAATGATCCAGCTCAAGCCAAGAACTGCACAAAGTTAACAACAGCATTAAAAATATAAGTTACAACACAAAACCGAACGGTGAAAACCAAAGCACTACTCAGGGCTCTTTGGGAACACAAGGCTGATGAGACAGGTGGTTAATTATATTAGTTTGGTTGTCCTCCATCAGGATCCTTTTGATTGTCTATTTGGGTTTGTAGTGCTTTAGCTAACTTCTCAAATTGTTGATATGCAGTCAGAAATGGCGCAGGACTAAAATCATCAACAATTAAGGCTATTGTCCCATTTCTTATAATAGTATTGATATTACGAAACATTTTAATAACAATTTGAATATTTTCATATGCTTCTTGTAAGGTAAAGAGACCCACAAATACCGATAGAGCTTTGGTACTGAATAGTGTTTTTGCCACCATAGGATTTTCAGACATGTTCAACAGCATTTTCAGAACAAAAAACCTGGTTGTTACATCTCCTGTAACTAACAGGGAAAGAAACTCAGACATAAAATTGGCAACCAGTGTGTGATAGGCAGTAGTCATAGTGAGGTGTCTAAGCAGCCTTAATCCAAGCAGTTGCTCAGTGGAATCCAAGCCTTGTGCTAAGGTTTCTTCACACACTTGATATATGAATGTCTCAATCATGTTTAGATGTGGATAAGGCGGAGCCATAAGAATCATATTTTCCAAAAATCTTGTCCTAACTCGGGAGGTGGGATAATCAAGCAAGGTTTCAATAAGTGAGACAACACCTGAATCCCGAATGAAATCTCGGGTAAACTGAGAAGCACTTCTCATACCCATTGCAATCTTATATATTTCCTGAATAAAAGGATCACGAACCTTTTCCATTAACAGGAGGAGTTCCTCAAACTCTCCAGAACCAATTTTAAGTTCACATTGTATGCAGCTACAAGACCAAGTCTCAGGCTCCGCACTCTCCCTGGCCTTAAGATGCTCTCTAATTTCCGTGACTGACCGGTAGGAGGATTCACACTTTATTGTGAGCTGCTTGGCCTGAGGGGAAGATTCCTCATCTTCCCCTTCGGCATTATTGGGTTTTCCCTCAAACAGTTCAATGAATGCAGAGGATGCTTCTCCAGAAATTTTAAAGGAGCTTGGGGATGGGAAGCCAATCCTATAAGGGCCAGGTTTGTATTCAACAGTGACCTCTTCCCAGGTTCGAGGCCTGGATGCTGTATTAATTCCCTCTTCAGCGAAATCTCTGAACCTGGAACTAACCCTGTACACAGGATTAGGATTTAGATCAAAGCAAGGCTCATCCTTATCCCAGAACCAGGACCCAAATATGGCCTCTTCTTCAGACTCCTGCCTCGTCTCCTCTCTGGCCACAGCCCCCAAACTGGACTTCTCCTCCGTCCAGAACAAGGATCCACCAATGGCCCCCTCCTCATCCCCTGGCATGGACTCACAGATGGCTGAAGCCCCAGCCTCCACATCAGCCTCTTTCTCTGCCCAGAACCAGGACCCAATGATGACATCCTCCTCAAACTTGGGCTCATGCTTGACCCTATTACTGTTATCATCTTTCTGGGCCCTGGGCTTCAAGACAGTATCAGGCTCCTCCCTGTCTCTGGACCTGAATCTACTAATCATCTCCTCAGGCAAAAACCAAGACTCATTATAGTACTCATCTTCAGACTCAGATTCAAAACAGTCCTCTTTCTTTGTCCTGAGTTTGGACCTAGCATTTGCCTCATCCCGGACTCTGGGTCTGAACAAGTTATTGGTATTTTCTCCAGGCCACAAGCAGAATGGGTTGCCAGACTCCTCCTCAGACCCAGACCAGGAATCAATATAGGGTTCTGGCTTGGATCTGGGCCTAGACTGATGTTTAGCCCTGTGCCTGGACCTGGGCTCTTCCCTGGGCCATGATCTGATACTGGATTCTTCTACAGCCCAGAGAGAAGACATTGTAGAGGTCTCATCGGCTGACCAGAATCCAGATTCATTAGACACTTCCTCTCTGGCCCTGGGCCTGGGATAGCACCAAGACCCCATATTAGTTTCCTCCCCTGATCCAAACCAGGGTTGAATTCCTGGCTGACCCTGGGAACCAGGAAAGGTCTCAGAGTCCATATTTAACAGTTCCCTGTCTACAGATAGGGCTACGGGTTTAGGAACTGATCCAGACTCAGTACTGACCAGTGGCCAGGCTGCTGCATTGGTGAGGGGCATGCCCTCTATTTGGGACATTACTTCAGCTCCAAATTCAGCCTCAGCCCAAGCTTGGGCTTCATCCTTGGGCCTTGCCCCAGGGATTGCCTTGGCCTCAGTTTTAGGACGTGCCCCACCTACTGCCCTGGCTTCAGTTTTGCGTCTTGCCCCAGACATTGCTTGGGACTCAGTTTTGGGCCTTGCCCCATTCATAGCCTTTGACTCAGTTTTGGGCCTTGCCCCAGGCATTGCCTGGGTCTGGGCCCTAACCTTGGGTCTGACCACCATCTGGACATCATTCTCTCTCTCAGCTCCACCCCCAATCTCTTTTCCAGCCTTTTTTTCAGGCTTGGCCTGGGCACTTGGTTCAATCTCAGCCCCAGTCATAGTACCCGTTACAGAAAAGACACAGTTAAAATATGAGTAGCACAGTCTCAGCCTCTACCACAGACGTATCTTCACACTCTGATTCTTCAGTGATTCAGATGATACAGTTAGAAATAAGAGTTAGAGTTAATCACCAGTCCAGTAGTCAATAAGCCTCTTTCCCAAGACCAGCCACAGCCAATATTATAGACAGGATGCAGAAGAGGCACAACCAAGCTGGGGGAGAAGAGATGGTTCCCAGGTGAGTGCGGATCTGTTGAGGGTGGAGGTCAGCAGCAACTCCAATGCCACCAGAGCTGCCACTAACGGTGAATCTAAGGAGAGAGATCAGCATGGGGCTCTGAGTCTCTTCCATTGTGTCACTCCAAGCAGAGACTCACACACAGAGACTCAACCTTGAATTCTTGGTGGAGCTGTTTATTAGAAAATCTGTCACCCTCATTCCCCCAGAGCTGCCACATACTTGGCCTGCCAGAAAGTAAGTGTGAGATTGGTGGGGAAAGTACTATGTTGGTAATGGTGTTAAGGAGCCCCCAAACTAGACCCTAATCACTTTTGGACCTGTGTTAGTCTCATCTCAACTAGCCCACTCTTTTACCCACTCCCATACTAACCTGCTCTGATGTGGTGCAATATCCCCCTCCTTGCTCTGTTCCAGTGGTATTCAGTTATACAGCAGACAGCAGGCTGTCCTATGGACAAGTAAACATATAAGAGAAAATGAACTGAGTGCTTAGTTGACAGACACACACCTCCCTTTCATTTTAAGGGTCAAATTTTTCTGCTTCCTGTTTCCTGGTTCTTGATCCCAGGTCTTCTCTCATTCACAGCCCACACATACCCAAATATTTCCAATACCTCCTGCAGGAAATGCACAGGGAAGGCTGTAGCAGTGTGCAAATCTGGCAGGCCAGGAGAGGTGGATCACAAAGACCTGCCATAATCTTACTCGGTAACTGTCCTTTGCATTGTCCCTCTTTGCACCAACCTGCAGAGAACTGAGCCAATCTCTTCCTCTTTTCCTTCCTTGCAGAAAGTGACCAGCCTTAAAGCAAGCCTATGGACAGACAAAAAGAAGACAGTCAGGAGAGCATGGTAGCAACTGAGCACTTGATGGGAGTCCAACACCAATGATGGGAGTCCACATGTTATTTGACTTTCAACATTTAGGGTCTTCTTGGTCAAATACTCTCGTTTTTTTTTTTTTTTTTTTAAATCAGGTCCCTCTGTTTCAAGATTCCAGATAAAGACATATTTTCTTGACGTCACAATCTTCCCATTGCTCCCTTCTCCAATTCTGAGGATTCACCACTAGGTGCACCACATCCTTTTGCCTTGCGCAGCATAAATTGGGGGAAGGGCTCCTGTATATTCTAGAAAACAGGTTGTGCAGTGGCACTTGTAATTATGAATCTGTCTCACCCTCGCCTCTGAGCCCATCTTTTTCTGCCCACTTTTGGTTGAAATAAAGGATGGAGGTTAAGAGAAGTATCTAGAAGCTGGTACACAGGGAACCCCCCAATTTGGGTATACAGTCAATGATTGCTGTCCACCAATCCCCATCCCCACACACCTCCAGATCCAGGCTATTTTCCTGCTCCAACTTTCTCAAGCCGCTCCTCTAGAGATGCACCCTGCAGCCTGAAATCGCCAGACCTACTACGCAAACATGAGGTTTTGGCATCAACGAGGCGCCTGTGGGAAGGGAGAGCACCCAGAACGCAGGGCCCTATCAAGCCCCTTTGCACAATCAGGGCCCCCGAGTAGCCATCGCCATCACCATCGCCATCACCCGGGTGTCCCCACCCCCACCCCCACCCCTACCCCCAGCCCCCGCTCCCGCTCCGCCATTTCTCCCCCAGTAGCCTCCCCTCAGTCCTCTCCTGGCAGACACCTACAAGAGAGCTGGCCGGGAGCAGGCGGCTGCTTCGCCTCAGCAGATGCCCGGGGAGCCTCTCGGCCAGCCTGTGCCCGGGGCCGCCGCCTCCTCGCACCTCCCTCAGGGACCGGCTCCCACAGCCCAGAGCGCCGCCTCCTCCGGGGTGCCAGGGTCAGGGCGCCAGCTGAAAGCTGGTGAAGAGTGCCCCCCTCCCCCGCCGCCAGCGCCCACTTGCCTTTACAGGCTCAGGGCCCAGTGGTCGTGCTCCCTCCTCTCACAGCTCCTCACTCAGACGCCCACCGCCGCCCACGGCCTCCCGCCGCCGCCTTCCGAGCGCCGGAGCTGAGGAGAGGCGTCCGCCCACGCGCCGCCGCCGCACCAAAGGCAGGGGCTGCGCAGGAAGCAAGGGACAGAAGCGCTGGCAGCAGCGAGGGTGTCGGGAAGGGGCGGAGGGATATTTGAGCGTGAATGGGCCGACGCCCCCCAGGCCCACCTAGTTCCGACCCGAGGGGGCGGGGCCGGCGGGGGGGAGACCTGGCCGAGGGGCAGGTGGGCGCCACCCGCAGCCTCGGAGGACCCGCGTGGCCCCCTACCTGGCGACCACTCCACTGCAGTGCCCCTCCGGGCGCTCCAATCTAAGGGGCGGGAGGGCGGGGGTCTGGGGGGGGGGCGGATGGGGAGGCCCAAGGAGCTGCGCTGTCCGCAGCAGCGGAAGGATACCAGCCGCCCTTGGTCTGTGTGAATCCCCAGACTGCTCTGTCTGCCTCCCCCCTCCCCCAGCCATCCTTCCTGATGCTGAGGGGAGAGGAGGGGCTGTGGGGACTGCAGGCTGTGAGGGGGAGAGGAGAGCCAAGGCAGGGGGAGAGGAGAGCCAAGGCCAGACCACCCCAGACATCCTGGGGTGGCCCCAAAGGTTTCTTTTACTGTTCACAGGCGAGGAGAGGGGAGGAAGGTGGGAGGGGGCTGACATGGAGGCCTCACCATTTGTTCCTCTTCTATAGGATGACAGATCTAGACCTCTAATCCTGGCAAACAGTCCAGTGCTCTGTGCCCAGAGCCATTCTTTCTGCCACACTGCTTTTTCTCTCATTCGAAATGATTATACGTGTTGCATTTTGTGGTCCCCAAAGTTGTCCAAGAGTTCACTTCTCTGCCAGGACCCACGAAGGCCATGCAATCCTCCCTGCCTGTAGCCTCATAGCCAAGTATCAAGCACCAGGTAGGGCAGGCCCTGGCTCCTCTTTCTCTGGTTCTATCAAGTCTTCTGTGGCAGTCACATCCAAGCTATCATGATCTTTGGCAGTGTGGAAATGTGGCAGGGATTAGAACCAGCTTGGATCTCAGCCACTTCCCTATACACCTGTCTAGTTTGCCCAGTCATTCTTTGGATAAGGCCCTCCTATGTATGCACATTCCTTCACACCTACATCCTTCCTCTAGTCTTAAGCCCCTCCTTTTTGTGCCACATCCAAACAGCGCAATAATGGTTAAGCACAATTCAGGTTGAACACAAACATGCTGGCACTGATCCCCCTTTTAATTTTTTTAAAATTATTGATTTCTTTCAGAGAAGAAGGGAGAGGGATAGAGTTAGAAACATCAATCAGCTGCCTCCTGCACGCCCCTACTGGGGAGGTGCCCGCAACCAAGGTACATGCCCTTGACCAGAATCGAACCGGGGACCCTTCAGTCCGCAGGCTGATGCTCTAGCCACTGAGCCAAACCAGTCAGGGCACTGATCCCTTTTTGAAAACAGAATTAAATGGCACCCCTCACTGCAGTAGGTTGTATGAAGGTCCCCCAAGCATGTCCATGTCTAATTCTCCCAAACCTATAAATGTGTGATGTTAAATGGCAAAGGAGAATTAAGGCTACTGATGGCATTAAGATTGCTAACCAGCAGAATTTAAAGATTAAAGATATGCTGCATTATCCTGGCCAATGTAACCTCAAAGGTACTTTAAATGTGTAAGAGCTAGATCCGAAACCAAGGTGGCGGCATAGGTAAACGCATAATGGCAGCCTCACACAACAATTTAAAAAAAAAATACAACTAAAATACAAAATGGATATTATCCAGAACTACAGGAAAGTTGACTGACAGGAAATTTTACAACTAGAAGAAAAGAGAAAACCAGAAGGAAAATCAGAGGAGCTGTAAAAGCCTAAGGTACGGAGACACAGTGCGTGCGGGAAGAGGATGGAGCCGGAGAGGAGGGGGAGGCTGAGTGCCTGGCTGGCGTTCCCTAGCGGGAAGGAGATCAAAGCTCCGGACTGTGCTGAACCCCAGTTCTGGACGAGACCCTAGGGACCCAGGCTCATACGGAGGGTGTCTGGGCTGTAAGGCGGAAACTCAGGGGAGCGGCGAAAGGCAGTCCCGGAGGGGTGCACATTGAGAGCAGAAGACAGACTGTTGACTATGCTGCTGGGTTGCCCTAGCGGGAAGGAGACAAAAACTCTGGACTGTGTTGAGCCCCAGTTCCAACTGCACTGAACCCCAGTTCTAGGCCAGACCCTGGGGACCCAGGCTCATACGGAGGGAGTCTGGGCTGTAAACTCAGGGGAACAGCAAAAGGAAGTCCTGGAGGCAGGCACATTGCATGCAGAGAACGGACTGTTGACTGTGCTGCTGCATTGCCCTAGCGGGAAGGAGACAAAAGCTCCAGACTGCTCTGAAATCCAGTTCCGGGCTCATGGGGGAGAGCCTAGACTGTCTGGTAGTGGGTGAAACTCGAGGCACCTTTCTCTCAGAGGTGCTTGCAGCGAGTACCAAAGCAGCGAGTACTGAAGAACACTGAGGAACACTGAGACTCAGGAACCTCATAGGGCAGGGCTGACAGGAAGCCAAGGCTGTAGGCTCCACCTTGAAACTCTGCCTCATCTAAGCTGAACACAGAGGCTTTTGCAATTTTCCAAGTCTAGTCGAATAAGGCTGTCTCCTGGCATAGACACAGCTGATCCTCACAGCCAATTGGCCTGGAGGTCAGTTCCTCCCAGTGATACCAACAGCAATCAAGCCTTAACTACAATAAGGCTGTACACACAGTCCACAAAGGGGGCACCAAGAGTGTCCACCTCAGGTAACTGGGAGACTGATCCACTGAACCATATAGGACACCTT